CATGCTCTCTGTCTCTCATTCTCTCTCTCTCAAATAAATAAAATCTTTAAGAAAAAAAAAAAATGGATTACATATAATTTGATACCTGCTTAAGAAAAAAAAAAAAAAAACTGCACACAGAAAAAAAGTCAAAGAAATCCACAAATGTTCACAGTGGTATCATGAGGTGGTAGGATCAAGGATCTTCCTCTTAAACTCTTGGAATTTCCATGGGGTTTTTTTTGTTTTTTTTTAAGCAGTAAGTACAGACTTTCTATTAGAAAATGAAAAAATTTTTTAAATGATCCCCTTTCAGCATTTGTGAAAGCTCTTATAATTGTGACTTTTACTGTTTGTAAATTAAAAGTAAAATAAAAGTAAAAGTACCACTGACATAACATTCTATACCTACCATACTGAATAAATTAGTTTTGACAAGACAGCCTGTTTGAGAGAATGTTTATTAATAGGAGTGTAAATTCTTGCAGCTTCCCTACAGGACAATTTGTCAAAATTTAAAAAACTAAAAAATCTTAAGCACTATACCCAACAACTGTACTGCTAGAAACTTACTTATGAGTATTCTCCCTAAAATACATACCAAAAAAATCATCGCAGTATTGTTTGTAATAGCAAAAAATTTTAAATAACCAAAATGCCCATCAAGCTTTGGGATGAGAGAGGGTGGGGGGCCGGGAATGCAATGTAATAATATCAGTAATAATGCGGAATGCTTGAAAAAGAGAGAAGAGGTCTTCAGTCTTTACCCCCAGGGTTCAGACCTGGGACCCCAGACAAGGAGCCTCAACTGGCAATAAGTACTCAAATTTCTACTGAAAAAAAAAGTCAAAAGCATATAAAGGAAAATGAAAATATTTACTTCCTACTTATTATTACCTGTAAATGGCAAGACTTTGCCTCTTTTCTACTTTAATCTGCTTACAAGGAATTTGACCTAAAGCAGTCCATTACCTTATCATTAGCATTAATGGAACAATCAATTATTCCCAGGATTGCATTTAGACTGTTGGTGACATGTGCAAAGGACAAGGTCAAGCACAAATGAATTCTAACACTAAAGGGCTGTCAGCACAACTGCACCGTGAAATGCAGAATGAAAAAGATGGGTTTCAGACGCACCTAAATGCCGTGCCGTGGACCTGTCCATATGCTTTCCGTTACAAGCCGCTGAGCTACATCTCCTCGTGCTGCTGAGGTCCCAGCTCGAAACCACAGGGGGATCCCGGTTAGCAGAGTCAAGACCTAGCTAGAGAAAAACAGATGGTAAATAAAAATGGAGTAATAATGAATCTACCAGGAGGCACTCCGCATGAACAGAGGAGCCTACTTCTCACTCAGCTGTGCCCAATCCTAGAACTTGCTCTATGACGCCTTCATTCTTTCTTTCTTTAATTTATTTGACAGAGAGAGACACAGCAAGAGAGGGAACACAAGCAGGGGGAGTGGAAGAGGGAGAAGCAGGCTTCCCGCAGAGCAGAGAGCCCGATGCGGGGCTCGATCCCAGGACCCTGGGATCATGACCTGAGCCGAAGGCAGACGCTTAACGACTGAGCCACCCAGGCGCCCCTGACGCCTTCATTCTTGAGGAGCATCTAGGAGGCCCCAGCCAGCCCCTGGGCAGAATCACACATGGCACCCTCATTCCCTTCAAAATCGGCTCTTAATCTGCACTAAATATTTTGGAAGATGGTATTTTAGAATACCTGGGAAAAGCAATTTTGTACTTAATTGGGGTTTCTTCCTTGATAATCTTTTAAACTCCATATTCCCTAGCATAAGACCTCAATTTAAAAAAAAAAACAAACAAAAAAATTTTTTTAAAGATTTTATTTATTTATTTGACAGAGAGAGACAGAGAGGGAACACAAGCAGGCGGAGTGGGAGAGGGAGAAGCAGGCTCCCCGCTGAGCAGAGAGCCCGATGTGGGGCTTGATCCCAGGACCCTGGGATCATGACCTGAGCCAAAGGCAGACGCTTAACGACTGAGCCACCCAGGCGCCCCCAAAAAAATCTTTTTACATACTTCTCTAGTGCTCACTACATGCCAGGCACTGTACTAAGTACCTCTTAAAAAATTTTTAAGATTTTATTTATTTATTTGAGAGAGAGAGCAAGGTCAAAGAGCAGGAGAGGAGCAGACGGGGAGGGAGAGGGACAAGAAGATTCCACCGAGCACAGAGCCCCACGTAAGGCTCGATCCCACAACCCTGAGCCATGACCTGAGCCGAAACCAAGAGTCAGATGCTCAACTGACTGAGCCACCCAGGAGCCCCATTACCTGTTAAAATTAATAAAGGGAAACGTCACTAATGTGGAGTGGGGAAGAAAGTAGGAGAGGCTATAAGGGGGAGCCGGAGGGGGAGCAAGTCCACTCAATTACAGGAAGAATTGTCAATTATAGATCCCAACAGGAGAATCTCAATAGGAAACAATCATCAGTGATAGGCCCCAAAAGGGAAAGATGTACATTGCAGCTCCTACCAGAAATCTGCTACCCTTGCCAACTCAGCTAATGACAAGCCACCATCACCCTGAACTAGTGTCTTCCTCCAATAGGCTCTGCCTCAAAGCCACCCCTTCCAACTTCTGCCTTCTCCATAAAATCACCTTCCTCTCTGTCGGACTTGCCTATGGTTTGGCCATGGCTTAATGCCCCAAATAAACTCATTTTTGCTGGTAAAAAAACTTATTTTTAAGGTTAACATTATTTGGTAATTAGAAGTGGGATCCAGAAGACTGCCAACAACTCCAAGGCTGGTGAGCAAATAGGTACCCATACCCACAGAGCTACCTGAGCTCACTGCTTTCTCACCAACCCTAGAATTTGAAGGTAATTTTTCTCCTGGATTTTGGGCTCTGTGTTTTTGGGATCTGTTCTAAGGCTTTGCCCTTTATAAGAATGCTCATTTGGCCTTTGGTCCAACTCCTATTATAAACCAGGCTACTCCTATTGAAACCATGCTAGCCTTTCACCCAGCTTCCTGGGAACAAGGCTGTGTCTACTGGATCAGAGCTGGCCTTTGCTCGGATTCCTTTTAGAACCAGACTGTTCATACTGCTTAGGAATTTTTCTTTCTTGCTCTAGAAAAAAAGCAAACAAAACCCTAAGAAATGAGATCCCAGTCATCAAAATGTTTTGAGGGTGCCCTGACTTCTGGGATCCTAGCCAGGTTTATGTTTAAAAACTGGTCCCTCAAATCGGAGGGGTAGACGAACCATGAGAGACGATGGACTCTGAAAAACAAACTGAGGGTTCTAGAGGGGAGGGGGGTGGGAGGATGGGTTAGCCTGGTGGTGGGTATTGAGGAGGGCACATTCTGCATGGAGCACTGGATGTTATGCACAAACAATGAATCATGGAACACTTCATCTAAAACTAATGACGTAATGTATGGGGAGTAACATAAGAATAAAAAAATAAATAAATAAAAAACTGTGGTCCCTCCTCATGCACAAAGTAACTTAGAACTCCAATGGCCATTACAGGGAACGTGCCATATCCCCAGACTTACTCTTCTCAAAAATTAATTGGACAGCCATGGCTCTAAAATTGTCAAAACTGAATGGGATGCCTACTTTGGGATTTTGAAGCTTTTCAAACATTATCAGGAATCTAAAATTGCCTGTCTGCAAAATACAATTTCTAGACTAACAGAGGCAAACAAAGGGAGAAAAGGGCTTCTGAGGCCTTCTATGTCTCAGGATGTGCAGCAGCTGTCTTGTGTTCAGTCCTGAACTTCCCTTTTCCTCTGAAACTCTCCCCACTCCCTCCTTTCCTGAAGACTGCCCCTTTAAAGTTATGTCTTCTGAGGATCCAAATAAACCCCAAATCTCTTATGTTCCCTCGACCAAGGCCAGACTGTGAGCCAGAGCTGAAGAGTTTCCTGAAGTGACTCAGGATACATGTTCGCTGAATTCCAACTTACCACCCCGGCTTCTAAGATTTGTATCAGTCTGGCCATGTGCTTGTTGGTGAGGACCAGGCCAAATGCTGGATGAAACTAGCCCCATGAGAACACCCTAAAAGATTTAGAGAAACAAACCCCTAAAACTTTGGCAAGATTCTAGAATGCTCACTGGAAATCTCCACCGGGCAGTTACAGTAGCTTTTCCTAAGCCTGCTGATTGGAACAAAATTCAGGCTTGCACACAAAATCCTGATGAACCTGGTCATAACTCCTATAACCAACTCCAAACTGTCTTTAAAGATTCTGGGCTTCCGTAAGAGGCTGAATCCACCTGGGTAGCCTTTAACTCTAACTCTACATTTACTAACAGGCAGAACCAGGATCTTTTAGTTGAAGGACCAGCATGGAATGGGAAACTCAGTCCACTCCAGAGTTAGCTAGCTTGGCAAATGAGCTCACTCACACCCAGCAGGGTCACCTGAAAGAAAGAACTAAAATTCTCAATTTTCAGCTGTGGCAAATGAAGGCCCCTAAACAGACCCAAACCTCCCGGTTTCTGCTATTGGTGCAAAGGGCCTGGGCACTGGAAAAAAGACTGTTACAAACTTAAGCATTCCAGAAGCCTTCAGCCCTCTAGCCAGCCTTTCCAGGGTCCTCCTAATTCCCAGTGCCGGGGCTCCAACAACCGACAGGGACTCTTCCCAGTCCCCCCTCGTAATTTAATTGGCTTGGAGAAACCACTGTCCAGACTGAGAATGAATCTCTTTGTCTTACTGACCCCAGAGCTACATTCTCGGCGCTCAGCACCACTCCTGGAAAGCAGGCCCTGCAGGCATCAGAGCACGAAAACAGCTCCAATAGTGGGGGGCCTCTCATAAACCTCAACAGGTTCCTGTCTCTGCCCCTATTCCCTTTTGTTTAGGCCCTTTGAGAGATTCCCACCCTTTTCTCCTTACTTTCTCCACCCCATTCATTGGCTGGGCCAAGATTTCTTAGAACAGTATCGTGCCAGAATTTCTCCCAAAAGAAGGAAATCATTCTAGAATCAAAATCGCCAACCAGGTGGATTAAATGACCCTTCAACATCTTCTATTTGCTCCATCTCTGGTGGCACGATGGGGGAGTCTGGGAACACTGCTCATTTGTCCCCATCGGGTCAGCTACCACCCTCTTTATGGGCAGATTCCTCAACTGATATTGGCAGAATTCACAGCGTGCCTCCCATCAAGATTCAAACCGATCCCTCACCACCTCTCCCCCAGAACGAATACGCTATAAATAAAGAAGCCCTTTAAGGCATCAAGCCCGTAACAGGAGACCACGGGACTCAGGGCCTTATCATCCCCTGCACTAGTTCCTGGGAGCTCCTATTTTACCTGTGAGAAGACCCAGTGGCCAAGGATGGAGGTTAGTCCAGGACCTCGGAGCAATAAGTAACATTATCCCTGGGCGCCCTGTTGTTCCTAACCCCCATACACTGACATCTGTCCCCACTGAAAGCAAATCCTTCTTCACTATAATTGTTCTATATAGTGCACTTTTAGCATTCCAGTTCATAAGGATAGTCCGTATCTTCTTGCTTTCACTTGGGAAGAACAGTAATAAACCTGGACAGTAATGCCCCAGGTTACGCAGGCAGTCCTTCTTAACTCTTTACAAACCTTAAAAGCTGATTTGGAGGATATAAAGTTTTCTGCAGGCTCTTGTTGGTTACAATATGTATATGTTCTGCTTCTCTTCTCCCTTTCTCAAACCTCTTCACAGGAGACAGCATTCACCTGCTAAAACTTTTGGCCTTAAAAGGACATAAAGTCTTCAAAGAAAAATTGCAGCTTGCACAAACTCAGGTTCATCTTAGGGCACCTGATCTCAGAACAAGGACTGCATTTAGATCCAGGTGGGTTTCATGGCATCCTGAACTTCCCAAAACCTAAAACTAAGTGCCAATTACGAAGTTTTCTTGGACTGGCTGTCTACTGTCAAAACTGAGATTCCAAACTTCTCTCTTACAGCTCAACTATTGTATGCTTCACTTAAAAATGACAAACCTGACCCTGTCATTCAGAAAGATCGAGAAGACTTAGCTTTGGAGACTTTAAAGAAAAGCCTAATAAAGCCTCCTGCCCTCGGACATCCTAATTATCAACTTCCCTTTTTCTCGTTGTTTGTGAGAAGGAAGAAAATGCCTGGAGTACTTGCCCCAAAATATGGGGGACCATCACTGACCCATTGGGTAGGAGAGCCAACCACTGGAGCCTGTGGCCAGGGATGTCCCTTCTGCCCCCACCTCTGAGCCATTCCTGTCACTGCCCTTCTGGTTAAGGCCAGTGAAGA